AATTAAATCTTTTCAGTACTCCCCTCAGCTCTGTGTAAGGGAGGAGAAGTGTTAGCCAACAGACTTGAAGTACCATGGCCTCATTGGCAGGGTATTGCAACAGACTGAAAATCTGGGTCCTGTAGATGCATCTACACCTTTTATGGGATTGGGTGCAGCAGACTGTGCTTGCCTGTGGCTGTTAGAGTCATATTTCATCTCACCGCTGATGGGTGGGTTACTTCAGTGCTCACCACACACCCATCACTTGGTCATTTAACTTTCTGAGTTGGCCAGCCTGGGAGAGTTGAAGTGATTATGAGACTTCAGCTACTCTGGTTCCTGTGGCAATTATTACTTATCATACATTTACTAATAGTTGTTTGGATTTATACATCAGTCTTACAGTCTTGGATACCCTATGTCTACTTAAGTAGAAAGAGAGAGACCTGTTCTTGGTATATTGCTGATCTGGTTTTGCTTATGTTAATTCCTCAGGCCTTACTATGAACCAGAGGTGTAATACTCAAGTAACTCAGCATAACAGGAAGCAGGTGTGGGAAGGAATGGCACCTGTGCCATCTTAGTTTTTTCCTCTTTGGGGAAGGGTGGTAGGGAATTCTTTTGATTACATTTGTCACCACTCTATACCAGTCGCTTAACGAAAGTATTGCCCAGGTGTGCACACAGAGCTCTTAATGTGGTCATCATAGCTGACGAAGGTGGTGATTTAAAAAATAGAATTTAAAAAAAGTAGCCGGGCTCGGTGGCTCAGCCTGTAATCCCGCGCCTTGGGAGGCTGAGGTGAGTGGATTGCCTGAGCCCGCGGGTTCAAGACCCACCTGGGCAGCGAGACCTCATCTCTACAATAAAATCAAAAAATCAGCCGGGCGTGGTAGCGCATGCCTGTAATTCTGACTACTTGGAAGGCTGAGGCGGAAGGATCGCTGGAGCCCCGCAGGTCGAGGCTGCGGTGGCCAGGAGCGGCCACTGCACTCCAGTCTGGGTGACAGAGTGAGACTCCAACTCAAAAAAAAAAAAAGAATTTAAAAAAAGTTTCCTGATGCGTGTTGAGTAGCTGTCAAATGGAATGTGGAGAATATGTGTACCTCTAACCCAGAAGAGTGGTGAGATCAAAATTGCTTCGTGTCTTCCTTGAAGTGTTGTTTCATTAATTCAAATAGAAGAGCTTTATTTCTCTTGTTCATGGAGAGAGTCTGGATTGACGATTAACTCACATGGTTAGACCTATCTGCCTATGTGTTTTACAATGTAAGGTAAGAGTTCATTGAAGATTCTAATTATAGTAGTTACAAACCCTCACCTTCCAAATTAGCAAGACTGCACATCTCTTTCCCAGGTATCTTTATCAGAATATCCCTGAGGGACCTCTGAGGTTGGGTGCTCTCTTCCCAAATTTCTAAGGTCCTCTGATGTTGGATGCACTCTCCTGGTATTTCTGAGGTCCTCTGAGGTTGGGTGCACTCTCCCTGATATCCCTGAGATCCTCTGAGGTTGGGAACACTCTCCCCAATATTTCTGAGGTACTCTGCAGTTCTATGCCTTCTCACTGCTAGCCTGCTGGCACCTGCTAGGAGTAAACAGGGGACTGAGCGCACAATGCAAGGTGATACCCGAAACCTCTGGCCTTCACACAGTCTGTGAGCAGGTCTCAGATGCTCCTGGCATCACCATGTCACTGCCAAGCATGCTGGAGCCCTGCCATGCTGAGGAGACAGAGGAGGGGTGCCCACCATCTCCATCGACTGTGGACCTCACTCTCTGCTTCAGTGCAAATCTCTCCCTCAATATCACATCTTTTCAGGGCACCCGGAGCCCCAAGAGTTCTTCCCCATAATTTCAGCTTTTCCTACAACATCTTGCCAACATTTTTCTCTAGTGCCTGGGTAATTAAAGCCTATAGCATCTGTGATATTTTGTTCCCAGAACCATCTAACCCCTTCACTGGCCCTCTTCTTGATGACCAGTCACTAATCTAGACTTTTCTCCTCATTTTGGTGAATTTTCTCCATAGAGGTCTCTTATGATCTAACCTTGGTTGGGGCCCTACTAACCCTTTAGAATTGTTTTTATTACTTTTATTTCCATTTAAGGGAAGGAATCCTTTCCAATTCTTTTTGCTCCAAGACAACCCTTGCCCCATAATTTTGTTTAAATTTAAATTATTTCAGTAGCTTTAGTGGTACAGATGGTCTTTGGTTTCATGGCTGCTTTGTGTAGTGGTGGAAAAGCCTGGGCTTTAAGCATACCTGTCATCCCCATTCGTGCATATTGTACCCAATAGGTGATTTTAATCCCTCCTCTTCTTCCTACCCTCCCTCTTCTGAATCTCCAATATTTTATAAGGGGGACCCAGGAATTGGGAATTTATTTATTAAAAATTTGTGTATTATTTTTGCACGTTTAAGTGTCAGTCACCTTTAAAGTACTCTCCGTTTGATACAATATACCTACTGAGTCACTTTTTCCACTGCTCAAACAGTTTTGAGCTCGTCAATTTTGAGGTCTTTCAGTGCTTCTGCCATTTTTTGCTTCACCTCTTCCACGTCAGCAAAGTGTTTCCCTTTGAGGACTTTCTTCATTAGGGAAACAAACAAAAAAATGTTGCTCAGGGCAAGATTGGGTGAATATGGAGGGTGGGGCATGGGGGTCATGCCTCTTTTTTGGGTCAAAAACTGCTGAACACTCAGCGTGGTGTGGGTGGGTGCTCTCATAAATCACCCACCATGAAATGGGCAAATGCATTGAAAGAATCTAAAAAAAAAAAAAAATTCACTGAAGCCTAATGTAGCCTCTCCCAACAATACTAACTTTACAGTATACTGATGCCGATGGGTTCCTAGGACACTTACCTAGCAGGGGGAAGCCTGTACTACAAGGGACCCACTCTCCCAAAGATAATTCCTGTTTTGGGGAGGTCTCCCCTTGTATATCATTCTCTGCGTCTTTGCAGACCCTTAGCTTTTAAGTGAGAACATTTCTATGTTTGATTTTCCCTTCCTGTGTTAAAAACTCTTGCATATAAATTAGCACCTGAGAAGGAGATGTGATTTTTCAACTCCCCCTGCCAGCATTTGAGATTCTGATGGAAATGGGTATGTCTGATAGGGAATGACACCCAGCTCCTCAGCTAGGAACATCCAAGGGCTAGGCTCTCAAGTGCTCCGTTACACAAAGTAAACATGACCTGGAGACACCAGCTTCGAACTGAGTGGCAAGCTGATTTTCCTGAGGCTCTCTGTGCAATACAGAAGCCAGGAGCAATACACTGTGGTCTTTGTGCTGCCTTTAAGGAAGCTCTAATAAAGGATTCTTAAATTCTGTTCAAATTGACATGACTCCATTTGATAACCTATATCTAAAATTTCAATTATATAAAACTGGGGGTGGGAGGGAGTGTGTCTTGTGTCTAGAACATGGTGTTGTGAGAGGCTGAGACTAATCGTGCAACCCTGGGCAGAGCTGCCATCCTGTCTATAACTATAAAATGGGTATGACCGTACCTCACTGGAGCCACGTGACCTCCGGGGTGAGGAGGATAAACTGTGCCTCTCACCCTGAGCCCCACCTACTTGGACAGCTTTCAGTCTCTAGCTGTGAGGTCCCTGTGCTTTGGCCTGCACGCCACCGCAGCACGGTGCCCCGTCCATCTCACTCATGCCTTCTGTCTGTGCTCCAGCAGTACTGCCCTGTTTACAGTCTCCTGCACACGTTGCCCCGTTTGTCACACCCCGTCCCTGTGCTCATTCTTCTCCCCCCTATAGAACACCCCGATGGTTTCACATACAGTTTGTTACCAGCCCTTGACTATCAGTCGTGTCTTTATCAGTGGGTGGAGAACACTTTGCTTGCCCTCAGAAATAACCACAGCCAAACAGCCACTCCTTTGTCATTTGGTCTGTATTTCTTTGGCAAACACTTACTGAGGACTCTGTTGGCACTGGTGTTAGGAGGATGAGTAACACACCATCTACGCCCCCAGGAAGCTCCCCCTCTGGTAGGGGGAACCTGTCTCAGAAACAAACAACAAGACCTTCTGGTAAGTGCTTTATTGAACAGGAGGGCAGGTGCGGGGGACATAGAAACACAGAGGAGTGCCACTAGCATCATAAAACACTTCCAGAAGAGGCCCCATGCCGGCAGGACTCATGGGAGGAGTTGGCATTGGCTAGGCAGGAAAGAAAAATCAGCTTTGGAGATGGAGTCCAGTTGTAATCCTTTTCTAGGAAAGGAGGACGGGATTGATGTAATCCGGTCTTGTTACATTTTTACTAGAAAGTACAATAAACAGTTTAAAATATTTTCTGTTCATAGTCTGTCCTTCTAGTACTTGTATGTGTTTTTTAAAAGTGTTGTCAGCATTGCAACAAGGTATCCAGTTGAATCTATTACATCGTTTCAGTGATCGTGAGGTGACTTGACATGCTCTTGAGAAATTTAAAATTTGGTTTGTGAACATAAATTCTATTTGTAGGAAAAAAAGGTGATCATAAAGTGAGTTAGGTCATTGTGGTGGCTGCCAGTTTAAACCTTACTATTTATCTTTTTTCTGTCTTCATCCAAAAAGAAAAACAAAAAAATAGAAAAGCATTAATGTGTAACCTTAAAAATGTTGAATATTTTAAAATGAGGTTTATCTTGCTTTATCTAAAACTTTAATGTAAACAAGTTTAAAATTAATTGTTCCTTTTGAGCCTCTTTTTATATGGAGGGGGGATAAGTTACACATTTATTGGGGAAAGATGAATAAAAATTTACAACTGGTGTTTCCATTTTTGAAATGGGTCAGTTTTTACAAGACTATCAAATACTGCCTTTAAAATCTAATAGGAATTTTAGATGTGGGGGGGTTTATTTTTTATTATAAAGGAACCAACACCAATAATGGAAAATATGTCATTTTAAATAGATTTTATGTTCTAGACTAGTTATAAAATGTGTTTATGGTATGAATAATAAAATGAGGCATTTGTCAAATAAGAAGATGATCTCTTTTTAAGGTTATGAGAAGACAGATGATGTCTCGGAGAAGACTTCGTTGGCTGACCAGGAGGAAGTAAGGACGATCTTCATCAACCAGCCCCAGCTGACAAAATTCTGCAATAACCATGTCAGGTAGGAACCACAGAATACTATAGAACCAGCCAGCACGGCAGAGCTGGACAGGTCAACATGCAAATGTTTGCAAATTGTTTATAGTGCACTCAGTTAATAGTTGAGAGCTCCTTGGTGGCAACGTGAATAGGCTGTTTCTCCATCTTGTAACCAATAAAAAATATTATTCATAAGAATCCGAAAGTAGGATGGAACAGAAGGGATAAGTGCTTACATTCTGCCAGTTCTACACAGGGACTCTGAATAATGGAAGCTGCTCATGAGTAAATGCCTTTGCCCTAAAACTGTTAATAGAGCAATGTATTATTATTTTTGATGAACAAGTTTGAACATTTTTGGAGAGACCTTTGCAGTTCTGCACCAATAATTCATTTTGGTTAAATAGTCTTTAAATACTGATTTTTGAGAGTTGTGAGATTTGGTATGGCGCTAAGGAACGGAGGGCTGTGAGAATTGCTTCACTGCACTCTGATATGTTGATTCCAATGATCACATAAAAGGTATTGTGGGAGCATGAGTCACTAAGTGGCCTCTGGGGCCAAGTGAACACTCAGTGCAAGTACAGTGTTTCTCCAGTGGAAGAATTCCCAGACTTGAGAAGTGCCCACGTTAAATTAATATTTACAATTTCAAATTCTAGAGTAACAGTTCTCAGTTTGGGGAGCATGGCTTGTGTTTTCTGGAATCTCCTTTATATTTTATAAACAAGAGGAAGATCTAGACGCTTCCAAGACCTAAGAGTCAGTATCTTAATGATGTGGGCATCTCTGGTGTGTTAAGTGTGGAATCCTAGTCACCTTCCTGGAGTGGCTATGAAGAAAATCCAGGCAGAACCCTAGAAATCTCTCCACTTCCCTGAAATTATCCAGGAACGGCATCTCTGTTTACACTGGTCCTGTTCATATTGCTGATAATATTTTTTTACAAGATTTTGTTTTCTGTTAATGTGTTGTACTCTGTCTAAAGTTACTCTTTTTAGCAAGCTACTTCTAGTAATGTGAAGCTGGACACATTGTCAAAGAGAACAAAAGATAGTATGTAGGAAATAAAACCAATGGTATTCACGCTTTGCTATGGCACCAATTCCTTTCACTCTTTTTCATGTAAGTTAATGACCCACTGCAATTTCTACCAATTTGAAATAATAAGCAAATGTTCATTGTCTAATTTTTTAAATGGTGGTAGCAGAACTTTGTAAATGTGGGTGCTAATTATGGAGCAATTAAGTTTTATGCCACTTTTCATTTTTGTTTTCTAGCACTGCAAAATACAACATAATCACATTCCTCCCAAGATTCCTCTACTCTCAGTTCAGAAGAGCTGCTAATTCATTTTTTCTCTTTATTGCACTGCTTCAGGTAAAGTCACATCATAAAACCTCAGTTCAAAGTTGTACGTTCAGGTATTAGTGGATGTTTTTGTCCAATCCCATGACCCTGAGGCTGATCTAAATGCAGAGAGTTAAGCTGGTTTTGGTGGGAAATGTGGGTTCCTGCTGCGAGCAGCGTCAGAATCTACTACCTCATCAAACCTGTGGATTCATTTTGATCAACTTATTTTAGATGTTCTGGAAACTCAGTGTGCCAAGGATCATTCATTTTGGATGGTAAAGGGTGATGGGACTTTTTCTTAAAATATTAATTTTTGTAGCAGTAAAAGTGTCAACTTGGAATGTAAGGGTTACCACTTTAAATCTTGTATTTCTCTTTGTATTTGAGCTAGTTGGTAATCAAGGAAAAAAGTTGTATTTTATTCAAAAGTAGCATATGTTCATTGTCAGAAATAATTTGCAAACAGAGCAAAACATAAAGAAAAAAATTTGATGCTCTTATTATTCCACCACCAGAGACAACTACTCTTAAAATTTGAATGTATATCCTTCTGGTCTTTTGTTTTGATTTGTTTTGTTTTTTCCCTTCTAACCATTGGTTATTGATTTACAAAAAGGGGATCATAATGTACTGATTTAGATTACAAATAGGGAATTATAGAGTATGTATTGTTTTCTAAAATGCTTTGTTTATTCTTTATAATAACATGTAGATATTTTCCCAGTCATTTTTTATTGTTTCAAAGAAATCATTTCAATAGTTCTATGATATTTTCATATATTGATATACTGTAATTTATTTAACTAATCCCCCATTGTAGGTGTTAGTTTTATATTCAAATGTATGCCATGAAGCTAGTTACCATGCTCTTCCAGCTACTTTTTAGGTGTGAGCAGATTGCCTCACCCAGCATTAGTCTGCCAAGAGAGTAAAATCAGTGAGACATATTTGAGAAGGCACTAAGACTTTGTTGTTTTTCAATCTATTATAAGCTCTCTAGTTCTCACTGGATTTCTCTTGCTTTTTTTCTTCTAAATAGCAAATACCTGATGTGTCACCTACAGGTCGTTACACAACACTGGTTCCTCTCTTATTTATTTTAGCTGTGGCAGCCATCAAAGAGATAATAGAAGATATTGTAAGTATTTGATTTTTTCATAAAGAAATGTGACTCTTGGTTATATATGTAAATTTTAAAATATTATTCTCTGCTTAAGCCATTTAATTCTTGGCACCAGCTGTTTAAATTACCCACTCAACTTAAAATGCATAGAATGTGTTCCTATCTTCGAGGTTAATTTTTAGTGATTTCTTCAGGATTAATATTGCCGAATGCTTGTAAAGTGTTCTGTTGTGTTTGTGGTTTAGTAATAAGAGAAAATAATTTGAGTGCAATAATTAACTTGGAGAGAACTTTATTTGAACATTATTTTTAATGAAATTGAAGTAAACTCTAAATCATCTAAATGTAAAATTGTTTGGGTATTTTTTTACTTAAATACCATAGTTTTCACCTCACTAGATGCCCACGAGTTCTTTTCATCCTATTTTAGTATTTCTAGGTTTCCATTTCCTTCTGATTTTAGTAAAAAAAACAGCAAAATTTGCTTTTTTTATCATTCTGCAGTAGTAGAGAAAGGGGAAGTCATTTTCCGCTGTATGAAGTTAATGCCTCCAAATAAATTCAGGCTTTTTCCCCTCTATTTTACCAATTTTAATTGTCTTACTTGAGGAAGCCAATGTTTTGTCTTCTTCCTATTCTTTTAATATACTTACTTACTTTGCTTGAAATGATCTTCGGCAAAGCCTCAGGAAAATCAGATGATAAGATGAGGTAAGGGTAAGAAATTTAGAAAGCTCCAACTAAAGTTACACAAGCATTAACTTTTTTTCCTGTGGATAACCAAACTGAGATTTTAAGAAGAAGATATGAGCCGTTAGAAATGGGTCGATTGAACATTCAGATCACCAGTCTGAAAGCGTCCACGTGTCTAAGAGTAGATACAGATGATGTATGTGTGTGCACGTGTGTGAAACGCCATAGTCCTCTTGATTGGAAAGGACGTACTTGATGGGGGCTGCTAGCTGAGAAATTTAAGAGACTCTTCCTACCTATGTTGTTCCACACAGATTTGGCAGTCTTCAAATTATGGTTGGATTTGGCCATCCATAGGGATTGGTCTTCACAAAACTTTTGTCTCTCTTGCCTTGTGTACTCCCTCTTCTTTCTTTGTGTGACCTGATTTCATTGTGTACCTTTTGTCCACTGGGCTTCATGCTGTTGTTTTTGCAAATGCTTTTCTCACTTAATTCCCTCAATAACTTTGAGAACTAAGTATTTACTCCATTTTAAAGGTAAGGAAACTTAGGCTTAGAGGTTATGTGACGTGTCCAAGATAGCAGGGGAATCAGAATTGCATCCCATCCAGTGCTCTTTGCTCCATACATGAAGAGTAACCAAGAATGATATTAGTAACATTTATTCATGAGTTCTATGTAGTTGCTCGGTGTCTTTTACATTTATTAAGTCTTATAATAACCCTTTAAGGTATTACTGATCTTATCCCCCTTTTACAGATGAGGAAGAGGAGGTATAGGGGAAGGGTAACTTGTCCAGGTCACAGCTGAGTCTGTTGGGATTCAGACAAGACAGGTTGACTCCAGAGTCTTCATAATTGCCTTCCTCAAAATGGTCTTCCTGATATTTTTGTTCTGTTTTGCTTTCTAGCAAAGCTATAGGCTCTCTGGCTATAGTTTCTAATACTTCTTCTTTGAAAATACATGATAAATAAAATTGTATGCAAAAAAATTTTTAACAGAACTCATTGGCATAATTGATCATTGAGGACTATTTGAAAGCAACTTATCAGGAAGTCCTTAAAGGACTTCATAGCATCATGAGGTTATAATAGTATGATATGAAATAGTTTTCAAGTAAAACCATTGATAAAAATTGACTAAAATTTGTAAGAGTAGCTTAACAAGAAGTTTATATCAAACTGTAGTGTGATAGAAGGGTTGAAAATTGCTCCCTAGAAAAAGGAAACAATCAGTAGTTTAGAGAGTTGGACAAACAGCTATCTTTATTGGTAATTATAATGAATGCATCTATTTATTCATTCAGCAATAATACTGAAGCATTCCTTAAGTGTCAGACATTCATTAGGAAATGAATTAGGATGTGTTAAACTTTTGCTATGGTAATAACCATGCCCCATGTAAGACTGAAAACTCAAGTTTATTTCTCACTTACTCAACGACACTGCAGGTTGTTGGGATGGAACAGATGATGCCCCTGTTCCGAATATTCACTCAGGGCTACAGACTGAATCAAGATTTGGCTGTGGCCAGATATAGTAGCTCACACCTATAATTCCAACACTTTGGGAGACTGAGGTGAGAGAATCACTTGAACCTAGAAGTTCAAGACCAGCCTAGGCAATATAGTGAGAGTTTGTCTCTACAAAAAAAAAAGAAAATAAGCTGGGTGTACATGGTGCAACATGCCTGCAATCCCAGCTACTCAGGAATCTGAGGCAGAAGGATTTCCTGAGCCCAGGAGGTCAAGGCTATGGTGAGCTGTAGTGATGCCATTGCACGTCAGCCTGAGCCTGAATCCAAAAGAAAAAAAAAAGGTTCTGCTTTGTGGAATGTTGATGGTCATTGTAACAGGAAAGGAGAAAAAGGATAGAGATTTCACTTTCTAGATTTTGGCCCATAATTAGCATACACCACATCTGTTTACAGCCTAATATTAGAACTAGAGTCATGGCAAAGGAGAGGTGTTGTCTCCAGGGTCCATGGAAGTAGAGAACTCTCCAGTTGGTGGTAACTAGTCATGTCTGCCACTCATGTATCAGTGAATAAAATAGAGCTTACGTTCCAGTAAACTTTCCCTTACCTTCTGTAAAACAACTTTTTAAAAATTTATAGAATAAAACATTTTAAGTATTGCCTCCAGGTGAGAAACTTACAACTTCTCCACACTAGTGCATTTTAACTCTTGGTGCTTTAACAACTTAACATAATATAATTTCCTATTTTTTTATGAGAGTAACAAATGTCATACATACTTGAAAATACTCTAAAATTGATGGATGATGTTTTTTAAAACTGCATTACGTCAAATGCTGATTCTTATGGTAAAGATCAAGATGCTTGTTCAATTGATAAATATTTATCACTAAAAATATTCCTTGTATGCTACAAACTTGTTAATTTAAGCACTAGTAGACTTTAGTCATAAAACAAATACTTATTCAAAGTCCACAATGTGCAGAGACCAAATACTGAGAATATGTTAGTGAGTAAAAGTAGCCATAATTGAGCTTATATTCCAGGAGAGGAGATAGACTTTAATCAGGTAATCTTGCTGATTTACAATTCTAAGGATTTCATGCATATCATTTAAGTCTCACAAAAAACTTTTGTGAGACTTAAATGATATGCATGAAATCCTTAGAATTGTGCCCAGTGTCTCATAAGTGATGAGTAAATGTTAACTGTGCTGTCATCATCCAAAGGTATTTTTGGCTAAACAGTGGAAAGTTGTTGGAAGGAAAACAGAGGATTTGGGCAGACTAATTAGAAGAATATTCTAGTAGTTAAATAAAAAATTAAGATAGAGTAAATTGTATGGTATAGATGGAGAAAGGTGGAAGGAAATATGTATTCACTATATGTTTAAGAGTGAAATGGGGTAAGACTTATTACCATCTAGCGTGCTATGTACCCTACTTATTTTGTTAACAGTCCATCCACAGCCACTAGAATGTAAGCTCCATGAGAGCGAAGGGTTTTGTTTCTTGTTCATTGTTGTATTCTCAGCAGTAGTGTTAGGGTCTGGCACGTAGTAAGGGCTAAGTAAATATTCATTGAGTGAAGAAATTACTTGAACAGGAGTGAGAGGGAGAAGAAGGTACAAGAATGACTCCCAAGTTCCTGGTTTGTGCAGATGAGTGATGTATGGCTCCATTTTGAGACAAGGACCAAATCTTGGGGGTTGAAGTCACAGGTTACCTTGTAGACATAGTTTGAGATGCCTTTGAGATTGCCGGAGAGAGCTGTCAAGGAGGTAACTGGATATAATGGTGCAGCTCAGATGAGAGTCTTGGCTAGTATATATTTACATATCAGTTATCATTGAAACTGCAGATATGAAGGAGTCGAATCAGGTAGAGAATGTAGAGTGAGACGTGCAGAAGGCCAGGGAGTAAGCATTGAGGAACCTCATCACTGTCTAGCAAGTAGGCAGAGGAGACAAGAAGACATCAATGTACAGATGGAAAACCTAGGCAGTGACATGATAAAGAAAGCCTGGGGAGGGAAGAGTTTCCAAAAGCAGGGAGTGGTCAACACTGCTACTGAAGCATCCTGAAATTCATGGCATTATTCATACAATACACTTTATCAATGTATGATCAATCAAATATTGATAATATTAAATAATTCATGAGCTCTCAGTGACATTAAATGAAATCTGATTAGAAGGCAGTGGGGGGTATTTGAACTTAGAGAATAACTTAATTTTTTCTGAACAATTCATTTTAGAAGGAATACTGGTCTCTTCATGATAAAAAAAATATATATATATAATTTTTGTAGTCATGAGATTAGAACCTGCATATTTACGGTAGATCCTTATAGATATTCAGCATACTTGTTTTTCAGTTGTAACCTAATTTGATGGGTGGGAAGGTTGAGGAAAGAGATGTCCCTGTGCAAGAATCCTCTGTAGATGGAAAGTCATGTTTAGGGTTGCCTTAGGTTTCACTGAGATTAAATTTCCTCTTTAAAGTTGATGTTTCATTAATTAGCTTTTATTTGTCTCCTTCAGTTGGAAGTCCAAATGTAGTCTCTCATAGATGTGCATTATTCTGGAAATATTTGTATCTTCTTTGAATATCTAAATTTACCTTGGATCATTATTTTGGATCAAAATTTATTTGGGACCGCTTCCTAATTTTCTTACAATCTCTATCATAAAACAAAAAAAGATTATTTTTAGAGTTTTACAACTATAAAATAATCTCTACTGATGCTACAAATTTAACAGAGCTTTAAAGTTTTATTTGGGTCTATTTGCTGGCAACTCGTGCTTACTTTTAGAAGCAATAACATGCCTACTGAAGATCTACATGAATCCACTTTTATTAGTGAGTATTTTATGCTGAGAAAGAGTGATAGTATGTTCCTGCGTGTGGATGTGGCAAGAATCATTTTCAACAGTTCTTCCACAGAGGCATTTTGAATGCTCTATTTGCATTTTGTGCAGTTCAGTGGTTGATTGTTTCCATGAACCGAGTTCACACTGGCAGCAATTATTCCACTTTCCTTGGGTGTTCCTGTTTCTTGGAGTCTAATCTACAGCTCTAGACTTTTCTCTTGGAAAGTGTTTTTATATGTGCACCGTGATTCTAAAATCTATGGTTGTTCTCAAATGGAAAACTTAGGAACTCATTTGTTTTATATTTGTTCCAACCCATGTTATAGTCAGGCATGCACAGCTAAACTTGACCTTAGGTTTAATAGGATAGAATCTTTGAGCAGAGAGAGAGTTACACTCCACTCTTGTCTGCAGCATTAGTGAAGTCTGATGGGTCATACTTGAGGCTGTAAGTTTAGACGGAAGCCATGGAAAACCTCTAGCTGAACCGTAGAGAAGATCACTTCCCCAGCCACTCAAATTCTCACCTTTCGTCTGACCTTCTGTTGCTTTTTCTTACACAGTGCTATAAAACCCTGGCTTACGTAACTCTTCAAACTTACCTAGATTTAGACTAACTCTCCTGTTTGCTGTTTAATTTTATAGGTGCTTTTGAGAGGAAAAATAGGATGGGATCTTGTGATTCAGTGGCTTGTGTTACAAATGGGGGTGGAATATGGGGAGAGTGAATAGGAGAAGCCATATGCAAATGGTATGTGAATTTGGTTCTCAGTCATTCACAGACATCACTAAATTATAGAGGATGTATTTGGCTTAATTACATAATGAATTTCATTAAAAGCTGGAAATATTTCAATACCATTATTAAACGGTAGTTACCGTAGATAATTCTCTTGAGGGATCCTTTTTATGTGAATTATTTAAACAAAAGACTAAACCAGTCTTTCAGTTCTACTTTATAGTACATTAAAATTTTAATCTTGCCCATGTGCTATGTAAAATTCTTCTCAACCACAAATCTGTGTTTTCAGAAGAGTACTCTATAAAGATACTTTGAGTTGTGCTGTCCGTTTTAAAATTCCTAATTGCCTTCTCATTCTTCCCATGATTCTCCCACCAATGTATACTTACAACATTGACATGAATGAGGAAGGATAAAAACCTTGAGAAACAGGAGTTAGAAGAAATCTCTCTTTTGTTTTGGGTGCTTTTTTATTACTCTCCTTCACTTTCTCACAGTTGTCCTTTTCGCCTTTAAACTTCAGAAACGACATAAAGCTGATAATGCCGTGAACAAGAAACAGACACAAGGTAGGAATTTTATTTTATTGATTCTCATATTTGTTGAATACACTCATAATCATATATACAGATCACTTCAATTGAGTATAACTCACCTGTGTATCTCTTAACTTTCTGTTCCAGGATAGATGGAGTCTTGCTTTGTGACATTTATTATCTTGGCACTTCAATTCCCATTAGTGTGACTCACAGTGCTAATACTTTTGAAAGCCAACATTTTTAAGTGCTTCGTGGTAACGTTCTCCCAAATACAGTTCATGAAGTCTACAGTTATTTTGATAGTGTTAAATACCATAAAAATGTATTTAATTTGCTTGTTATCTACAGACGTTGCTCTGGAAAAAATTTATAGAAAATCAGATGTGATTTTACGTGGGTGAAAGCATTTTGGAAGCACTCTAAGTTAAATTATGCGTGCAGATGACATATGCTCCAGAACCAAAGAAAATGATCAGAACCCCACCAGCTTCTGTCAAGTACATGGCATTTTGGCATGGCTCTTTTCTGTGGGTCTCATTTTGAGGCAACCAAAACCAAAATTACTTACAACACCAACAGATAGACCATCATGGTCTAAGGTTTTTTAAAATACATATACATGAATGTATGAAAAAGACATCTTTTATCCATCCCTTAGCTTGCCCTGCCTCCTCTCTCTCTGAAGGTCACTGATGGGATGAGGGTCAGTGTTGTCTTCCATGACTATCTGGTAATTAAAAATGGTATTTTTATGCTGCTCATATTTATATGTGGCCCTGTCAAAATGTCCTGCGTTATTCTCACCACCTCCCACTAAAGGCATTACATACTGATTTTTAATACATTTGAGGAAAAAAATTTGCTGATTAACCTAAAAAATTTACCAAGCTTTTCCTGAGACTATATTATTTTTTATGGGACATACAAAAAAAAGTATAAGATGGGAACTTCGGATTTGAAGAGCTTATAACCAATTTGTTGAGATGGGTGCGTGAAAACACGTGTCAAAGTGCAGGGTAAGAGATGATCTGTGTGGAAGATTAAGGGCTGGACTATGTGATCTCAAGTGTCTCTTCAGATTTTTGTGGCAAATCATGGTTCCTATGTCAAATGCTCCAGAAATGAAAAAGAGAGAAAATTGTTTCTCAAGCTAGACCTTGAATTTTGGGAGAACTTTGGATGAGCAAAGACATGAGGAAGAGTGGTGGATTGCTTTGCTAAACCTTTATTAGACTGCCTGATGTAGAAAGAAAATTCATATCAAAAGGAGACAAACACTTGATTTAAAAAGTAGGCCAGAATCAAATTGTATAAGATCTAGCGTATCAAGCTAAGGGGAATTCCAACTTACCTTGTGTATACTGAGTAGCTGTTGAAGGTTTATGAGCCAAAAAGAGACAGGAACAACATGTAGATTAAGGATGGAGAACAGAACGAATCAGAGTAGGGAGTGATTAGAAGCCTAGGGACAGGATACCCCAGGAGTCTAGGTGTGAAGGGACAACCTTAGGAAATGAAAGGGAAAACCCAGACATCTCAAGTGCTGGCATTTTTGGCCATACACAGTTTCTGCATTTGCTTGGAATAGTCAGTAAAAACTTTTGAAAAAAATGTCCATAACTTTCCAACACATAATGTATCTTTTAGCCAAGGGCACATATCTTCACTGACTGGCAGTTATTTATTTTTGAGCCTTGACTCAAGAAGTCATCAACATAGTAACCATCATAGCTGTGATGATTTGGGGCCACCACACCTTGTATTGCGGTACCTTGAGGTACTCCAATGTTCTGAATACTTACCTGCTTCCAAGAAGATATTCTTTCTTGACTATCATTCTTGATGCTTCAATCCCCTTCATGGACTAAGAGGGTTTGCCCTATGGCTAAAAATGAAGTCTAGGCAAGTGAGAGGGAAAGCCTCTATGGTAAGTATATATAAAACTCATGCAAAAATAAAATATTAAGGCTTAACTATAAAAAACCATTTCAGTCAAAAGGATACATATACATGCATCTGTGGATTCTTCATCCTCAGATTCAACCAAGCAAGGACCAAAAGTACTAGAGAAACATAAACAAAAAACAACAATAAAAAAATTCAAATTTAAAAACACATTTTAACAACTATTTACTTAGCATTTACATTGCATTAGGTATTATAAGTAATCTAGGGATGATTGAAAGTACACAAGATGTGCATAGGTTATGTGCAAATACTGTGACATCCTATATCAGGACTTGAGCATCCATGGATTTGGTATCCGTGGGTGGTCCTGGAACCCATCCCCCACAGATACTGAGGGACAAATTTACCTGGAAATCTCATATTCAAGAAGTCATGGCTTTTAGGTTGATACTTCAAATTGTTTTCTATGAGTGTAGTATATTTTTTTCCTTTGGCCTGCTTTCAGTATTGGTCGTTGTCTTGGTTTGGCCGTTGATAGGAGATAACAGAAATGTTTGAGAGGAATGCTGTTTGCTGTCAGATAACTCAAATTGTTTAACATGAAAGCCATCTGTTGTCATTAAACCAGAATGAAATTTAATTTTCTTTCCTGAACTGAGATAGGAGCGGGTATGTAGGAGTGGAAAGGGGGTATTTTTGACAGGTGATTAATTTTTGACAGACATTTGAAGCATTGAACTTAAATTTTCATTTTCTAAATGTTTACCAAGATCACATAAGAGGATATTTCCCCCTCAGATTCAAATATTAACCCTTCTATATTCTTAGAGAAATTGATATTTTCTCTCCTTATTTTACATGAAGCACTAAAGAGTGACTGTCATTCCCCCAGTGACTTCAGAAATAGAAATTTTAATTTTATTTCCAAAATTTTCAACCATTTAACTGAAGACTGGTGCCTGACTGACACCTCATTTTCCCTGGGTAATGAATTCAGTCAGGGATCAAATTATGGAGTTGAGAGCTAATCCAGAACTTCACAAACTTGGCATGGGAGCCTATCATCAACACGCTTTTGGAAACAAGCCATTTCTTGTCCTGGAAATATATAAGTTGGTTAGGTAGATGGTTCAGTGATGTGACAAATGCAAAATTGTATGTTGTTTGCTGAGAACCTGGCTGCAGAGCAAGAGCAGAGTAAATTGATGTTCCAAATCTGGGGGAGCAAATGGGTCTTGATGAGATGTGTGGTTCTCCCCTCTGGAAGACATGCAGCTGCTTCTCTCTGCTCCAGGGATTTGTTGTATGGTGGTTTGTGCGTTCTAGCCAGGAGCACTGCCAAGGGCAGGTCCAGCCTCTTATTCCTCTTTGTGTTCCCTGTAGCTGAGCTGCCAGCCCAGGATCTTGTCTCAGCAGGTTCTCTGCAGGGGCATGGCAAATGAGCTGGTAAATGAACCACTTCCCAGATAAATATCTGAGTGTAGGTAACACGGAGAGAAAAGAGATTAGAAATGAAAGGAGCCTTCCTGAAAATTAAACTATATGGGGGTGTGAATAAGATGAAAAGAAATACTTTCATAACATTGTGTCCCAGACTGTTTCACAGGCACTGATACAATATGAATGTGACAGAAGCTCTTGCCATTTTTTTACCTTCTCTATCTAAATCATCATATCACAATTTTACCCTTGCTTTGCCTCCTGTGAACACAGTACTATGCCCACTTACCACGCCATTACTCAGTGCCCTGGAGCACTGCTCTGTTTGAAATGCCCTGGTTTTTCTTGCATCTAAGTTTGCCTTCATTTTCTTCTCTCAGTATTTGAACTCAATTTTTGACATATCCTCATCTACCATGCTGGAGGGCCATTTCCCTTTGCTTCCACTGAACTAAATTGTGTTGCCAAATTTACCTTTTCAGGAATTTGTATATTATAATTATTTATTGGTATAATAAGTGAATTAAAGCCATTCCCCATATGAACTTGTCATAGTGGTTGAGCTAGATCTCTCCTTAAATTGTAAACATATGCTTTCATTTTTTATGAAATGCTATTTAGGCTAGTGTACTATTATTCCAAGTGAAATGATAATTTAATCCCAAAATATGACACAGAAACCTGGAAAAGGATGTTGAGACTCAGACTAAGATAGGTGTTTTGGAGATGTGAAAGTACCTCCTGAATTCACAACCTATTCCAATGTCCAGAAGCATATTTGCTACTTGTTCTTCTAGAATTCTTATAGTTGAAGTTTTACATTTAGGGCCTTGATCCATTTTGAGTTGACTTTTTGTATATGGTGATAGGTAGGGGTCCAGTTTTACTCTTTTGCATGTGGTCAGCCAGTTTTCCCAGCACCATTTACTAAATATGGTCTCCTTTCCCCAGTGATTGTTATTTGTGGCTTTGTCAAAGATGAGTTGGTTGAGAGACCTTGTTTTCACTTCCAGAATCTCTGTCCTTACCCATTGGTTTATGTGCCTTTTCCTGTACCAGACCAACTTGGTTACTGTAGCCTTGTAATAAAGTTTAAAGTCTGGAAGTTTGATACTTCCAGCTTTGTTCCTTTTGCTGAGGATTGTTTTGGCTATTTGTGCTTTTTTTCATTTCTGTATGAATTTCTGTATTGTCATTTCCAAGTCTGTAAAAAATGATGTTGGTAATTTGATGAGTATTGCACTGAGTCTGTAGATTGCCTTGGGTAGGATGGACATCTTGGCAATGTTGATTCTTCCAATCCATGAGCATGGGATGTTTTTCCATTTGTTTATGTCATCCTTGTTTTCTTTTAGCAACATTTTGTAGTTCTTGTTTTAACATTCTTTCACTTATCTAGTTAGATGGATGCCAAGATATTTCTTTCTTATTTTGTGGCTATTGTGAATGGGATTGTGTTTTTTATTTTGTTCTCTGCCTGTTTGTTGCTGGTATGTAGAAATGCAACTATCTTTTGCATGTTGATTTTATATCCCGAGACTTTACCACAGTCATTTATCAGTGTGAGGAGGCTTTTGACAGACTATGGTTTTCTAGGTATAGAATCATATGATCTGAAAAAAGGGATGGTTTAACTTCCCCTTTTCCTATTTGGACACCTCTGATTTTCTTCTCTTGCCTGA